TAGAATTACAAATAAATTCATTAATAACACAAATTAGTGTTTAATTAAATATAAAAAAACAATGAAAGAGAAAAAGAAAGGAGATTAAGAAGATATAATCCTAAAATTATATGAATATAATGCAGTTATAAACATCATATAATTAATCTAGCAACATTTGAATGGAAGAGTAAGAGATGGGACAGATAAGGGAGGAGAAGAAAAAAGAAGAAGAAGAAGAAGAAGGAAGGAAGGAATGAAGAAATGATCGGGTTAGAGTGTTCTGGATATATATATAGACTATTTTACCAATGTGTAATATGTCGGAAATAATTTTACCGACAAAACTCACATAGGCAATTAACCTAAAAGTGGGAATCCAAAAAAAGCAAAAAATTTGCATTCCCGCCGAAATTCACCGTTGACTTGTGTGTGGTACATCGGAAATAATTTTACCGACAAAACCCACATAGTTAATTAATCTAAAAGCGGGAATCCAAAAAAAACAAAAAATTTGCATTCCCGTCTAAACTCACCGACCAGTTTCAACGGGGGGTCTCGGCATGCAAACGAAAATGAAAGGGGATGAGGGGTCTTGGCAGATGAAGATGAAAGGGGAAGGGGGGTCTCCGCAGACAAAAATGAAAGGGGCGGGGGGGTCTCGACAGACGAAAATGAAAGGGGAAAGGGGAAAGGGGGGTCTCGGTAGGCAAGGGGGAAGCTTACTGACGGGTTCCCGTTGGAAACCCGTAAAGCTCACCGACAGGTTCTCGTTGGAAACTTGTAATGCTCACCGACGAGTTCCTGTTGGAAACCCATAGAGCTAATCAACTCTGCATTGCTTCAGAACCCATCGGAAACCCATAAAGCTAATCAACTCTGCATTGCTTCAGGAATCTGATTGACCAGGATCATCACCGACAAACTCGACGTTGGTGTGTAATGCAAATTATCGACGAGAATATTGTTGGAATTTATGAAAAAGCTGACGCGAGCAGCCAATTCACTGTGCGGGGTTGAATTGTGAACTTACCGACAAGGATCACGTCGGTATATGAGTTACCGGTCCTCACGCCACCGGACTGACTTTTTCAGAATTTTACCGACAAGGAGCACATGTGTATATCATTATATCACCGATAAAGATTTTATCTGAAACTTAAATAATATAAATTACTATAATTTTTACTGTTACTACATTTGCAAATATGTTTCTTGTCGGTAAAATGCTCATTTACCAATAACAAGTTTTACGTCGGTGATTTGGGGTCGGTGATTTTGGGTTTTCTTGTAGTGTATACTCCCTCCATTCTCTTTTAATAGATCTAATTTAATTTTTTGACTTTTCAAATGTAAATTTGAGATAAAAATCTAACTTATATAAACAATAATTGAAAAAAAAATTTCTAATATGAAATTCATGTTGAATATTTTTATTTGCTAAAAAAATTATCAATTAACATTTAGATAATATAATAAAATTTTATTTAAAATTCATATTTGAAATATCAAAAAAATTAAATTAAATCTAATAAAAATGAACAAAGATAGTAACAATCACTTTTAATGTTGTGAACAGAAAAAGAAAAGAGCGATGCTAAGGGCACTCGCCCATAAGCACTCTCTTCAACACTTGCCCCCTCTCTTTCTGACATGTTGCATAAATATTGAGGGAAAATAGATGTAGGGC